CAATAAAGTCAGAAGTAGAGCTGTGGCTCAAAGGGTGGAGTACCATCCCTGCGCAAGAAAAAGCTAAAGGACAGCACCTGGGCCCTGAGTTCAAGTCCCAGTATTGACAGAAAAATAAAGGGGAAAAAGCTGGGTGCCAGTGGCTCACTCCTGTAATTCTAGCTACTCAGGAGGCTGAGATCTGAGGATCACAGTTTAAAGCCAGCCTGGGCAGGAAGAGCTGAGGGACAGTGCCCAGGCCCAGAGTTCAAGCCCCACGACCAACAAAAAATAAAAAATAAAGGGTGGAAAATAAAACCCCTTAAAACCTTGCCCGTTCTTATTCTGTGCTGTGCTGTGTCTTTCTGAAAAATGCAAGACCTGATTCCCTAAACTCTCATCCTCCCCATCCCCCAACTAATGCATCAGCACCGCCAGCCTCATTTCTTTGGTTTAGAGCAGGTGGTCCCCTGTAACATCTGACCACCGGTAAGGCGGCATATGGAGTGTGTGTCTCAATTTGAGGGATAAGATACAAGTTTCAACTTTCTCTGCTGGTTGAATAGCAAGTTTTGTACCTCCTGGCTTCCCCTGCCCCCTACTCCCCAGACTCCCAGATTCTGTCTTTGTTTTTGTGTTATTGTTGTTGTTTGTTGGTGGTAGGGCTTGAACTCTGGGCCTGGGCACTGTCCCTCAGCTCTTCAGCTCAAGGCCAGCACTCTACCACCGGAGTCACAGCGCCACTTCCAGCTTTCTGGTGGTTTATTGGAGATAAGAGTTTCACAATCCTCAGATCTCAGCCTCCTGAGTAGCTAAGATTACAGGCATGAGCCACCAGTGCCCAGCTCCAGATTCCTGTCTTTTGACAAAGTAACCAGCCTCTCTCTACACAGATTTTGGGAATCAGCTCTCCTCCTACTCCAGGAAGCCTTCCGCTGTGCTCAACTCTGTTGTCTTCCTGCCTCTTCCTTCCTGAGCCCCCTCTGTCTGTCTGCCTCGACCCCCCTCCTCCCCCCCTCCCTAGCACTGTACCATAGCACAATTTTCTGTTAGATTCTCCACTCTTCCATTCCTTTCATTTCCAGGGGAGTGTGCTTCTGGCTACCTCATGATGGTACAGACAGATTTACTGAATGAATGAATAATAGCTTGTAGTAATAATAGCAATAAGCCTTTATTGTGTGATCACATTAATCCCATGAGGAATCTTGAGCAACACATTGGGATAGGTCCACTTTACAAATGAGGAAAGAGGGCTCAGAGAAATAGAGTAACACCAGAAGGCAGGGTCATAACCCAGGGGCTGCCCAGCTCCCTACAGCTCCTGATCCCAGGATCTTATTTGTCCACATTCTTCTCAGTGCTACCACATACACCCCCTCGCTAGGTCAGAGGGCAAGTCCTTAACACACCCTCAGGGGACTGGTGACAGGTTTATTAAAGAGACTTTCCGAAGCTGTGGCCACATCTAATTTTGGAGCTACACATCACGGGTGGCTTGGGCCAGAGAGTCTGGGAGGTTTCTAGGGCCTCTTGGGTATGGGGCCATGCCATTTGGGAGAAGTCGGGACCTCTGGTTCACCAGAGCATCAGGTCTTCTGGTCACCTGGCCTCAAGAGCTGCTAGGCACACACACCTAGGGTCAAACCTATGGTCTGCAAAGCCTGGGTGATGTGGCCACGCCCACAGTTCTAACTGATCCTCCCACCCGTGCCCCAGACCCTTTGCATCACCATACTCTCTGCCTGAAAGTCTCTACCTTCCTCTTTAGGCCTCCGCATCTTTATCCAAATGCCACCCTCTTCCCGCTCAGTTATTTTTCTTTCCAAAACACAGGCAGCTTCTGCAAACTATACATGTGGTTGTTTTCTGGTTTCTTTCTGTCTTCTCCAATATACAGGCGCTCCTGGAGGGTCTCATCTTGCCCCCTGCTCCAGCCCCTAGAACTTGCGGTAGGATGAATGGGGGTTTCTCCCTTTAAACATTTCAGGAGATCAAGCCAGCAATACGTCCCTGTGCCTCCGATCCAGACCTTGGCATACCCCTACTTCCCCAGGTTGAAGGGAGAGAAGAAGGATCAGGGGCAATATTCAACACATGCCCAGCACGTACTACTTTGCACCTTACAAGCGCCTGAGGGAAACTGAGGCTTGGTCTCCGCGGTGTCCCCATGATTAACACAAGTGCCACCATACACATTTCACAGAGCTGAGCCACACTGAATTGAGGCAAAGGGCTCAAGGCCACCGAATGAGGACGTGGGGAGCCAGAATTTGTCCATCGTTCTATTCAGTCCCAGCCAGTCCTATCTAGCTGTGCCTTGTTGACATCTGGACACATCTAAGAGCAGAGCCTGGCCTGGACATGAACAGTCTGCACCTCCTTTAGTCTTGTCCATCCTTGCTTCCACTAGCTGACGCAAGGTGCCTATCATCCCAGCACTTCGGAGGCTGAGGAAGGAGGATCAAAAGTTTGAGGCCTGGACTCTTTAGCAGGAGTCTATTGAGAGAGAGAAAGAGAGAGAGAGAGAGAGAGAGAGAGAGAGAGAGAGAGAGAGAAAGGGAGGGAGGGAGGGAGGGAGGAAGGAAAGAAAGAAAGAAAGGAAGGAAGGAAGGAAGGAAGGAAGGAAGGAAGGAAGAAGGAAGGAAGGGGCTGGGAAAGTGGCTCAATGGTAGAGTGCTTGCTTTGCATACATGACGCCCTGGGTTCGATTCTTCAGCACTACATAAGCAGAAAAAGCTGGAAGTGGAGCTGTGGCTCAAGTGGTAGAGCACTAGCCTTGAGCTGAAGAGCTGAGAGACAGTGCCCAGGCCCAGAGTTCAGGCCCCATGACCAACAAAAAAAAGAAAGAAAGAAAGAAAACAGAAAAAAAGAAAGAGAGAAAGGAAGGTAGAAAGAGAGAGGAAGAAAAAGAAAAGAAAAAGTAGAAAATAAACATTTTCTGTAAATACTGCAGGTTTTGCAGAACAACAGACAAAACTGATAATGTTATATAGGGCCTTACAATTAATTCATATGTCATGAAATATTATTCTTTTGACTCAAACACTTGAAGATGCAAAGCCACTCGCAGTTCAAAAGCTGCACAAAATAGGGAATAAACTACTTTTTTGGGGGGGAGGTGCTGGTCTTGGGTTTGAACTCAGAGCTTGAGTGCTATCCTTGAGCTTCTTTTATTCAAGGCTAGTGCTCTACCACTTGAGCCACACCTCTACTTCCATCATTCTGTGCTTAATTAGAGCTAAGAGTCTCATGGCCTTTTCCTGCCCAGGCTGGCTTCCAACCATGATCATCAGATCTCAGCCTCCTGAGTAGCTAGGATTGCTTACAGGTGTAAGCCATTGGTGCCTGGAAGTAAGCTACTTTTGACCCTTGATTAAAACCAATACTTTTATTTGTCCTTCCTTCCTCCCCTTCCTCCTTCTCTCCCTTCTTTTCTTTTTCCCTTCCTTCTTAGGCTAGGTCTCACTATGTTGGTCAAGTCAGTCTTCAACTTCTGGACCCAACTGATCCTCCTGTCTCAGCTGAGACTATAGACATGTGCCACCATGGCAGTAAAAGCACTATTTGCAAATATTTAAGGCATGTAAAAATATTGCCTAATGATCTTATTAACAACAGTTCTCAGGACCTGTGCCCCAAGAGTGTGACTCAGAAAGTCTGGGTGGGGCCGGGCGCTGGTGCTCACGCCTGTAATCCTAGCTACTCAGGAGGCTGAGATCTGAGGATCTCGGTTCAAAGCCAGCCCAGGCAGGAGAGACCGTGAGACTCCTATCTCCAATAAACCACCAGAAAACCAGAAGTGGCGCTGTAGCTCAAGTGGTAGAGCGCTTGCCTTGAGCTGAAGAGCTGAGGGACAGCGCCCAGGCCCAGAGTTCAAGCCCCACAACTGACAAAAAAAAAAAAAAAAGAAAGTCTGGGTGGGACTACTGCATTTGCACTACCATCTGAGTAATGGATGATTCCTCATGCTACCTACCACATTTTGCTCTAAAACCGTCCCCACTTTGTGGATGTAGAAACGGAGGCTCCAAGAAGGGCTATGTCCCAAGTCCTACCCAGCAGAAGAGGCAATGGTACATACACTGTCAAATCCCAGGCCCATTTGCCACAGAAAACACCTCTATGTTTTCTTAATCCACAATCTTGCTCATGCTTCTGAGCCTCTGTACAAAGTCCTCCCTCTGTCCCAATGCTCCCCAGCTTCCCCTCACAAACAAGACTTTCCCACCAAAGGCGCAGCTCAGCCATCACCTCTTAAGCCCTCCCGGTCTTCTTCAACCCTAAATGCTTTGGTCTGCCTCTGCTCTCTCCACCCATCTGTCTGGCGTTATAGGTCTGCTTTTCCTCCCTTTGAAGCCAGAGACTGACTGCATATCTCACTCTGTGGGAAGCCTGGCAAATTGGAAGAGGCCTCATTGAAATATTCATGGAATGAAAGAATGCATGGTGCACAGGTGGCTGCCTGGGTAGGCTGGTGGGTAAATGAGAGGATGGGCCGGTGGATGAGTGGATAGATGGATGGATAGGCTAGTGCATGGGTAAATAGGTGGATGGATGAGTGGGTGAGTGAATGGGTAGATGACAAGTGGGTGAGTGAGTGGGTGGGTGGATGGAGGGATGAATGAATGGATGGTGGATGGAGGGACCGATGGAGGGATGGATGAATGGATGTGTGAATGGGTGGGTGAACAAACCCAAGCGCACCCTTCATGATCTAATAATGCTTGGAGATAATTCTCATGGCCAAGTTGAGACCAGTCCTGAAATCTGTTGGGACACCTGAGTATCTAGTCCACAGCCATGTCTGTACCTAAGCCTGCAAATGCAAACAACTCCATTTTATTGAGCGTGTGCGGAGTGCCTTTATACAGCGGGATCAGAGAACCCCTTTCTCTAGGACTAACCGCACCAAGACGCAGAGGAGCTCGCCCTGGCCCCACAGCCAGCGCCCTGCGTTTTCCCACGGGGGGTCCCCACGGGGGAGGGGGAGCCTCGCACCCCGCCCCGCCCCGCCTCACCTCCGTCCGCATAGGTCTCCGTGCCATAGCCGTCCTGCAGGCCGTTGTTCCAGGTGCCCTCATACTTGGCGCCGCTGCTGGAGCTCTGCCGCGTGCCGTAGCGCCCCTTGAAGCCGTGCGTCCACTCGCCCTTGTAGAGCCAGCGCCCCTTGGTCTCTATGCCCAGCCCGTGCCTCTTGCCCTGGCTCCAGTAGCCCTCGAAGGTGTTCCCGCTGGGCCAGGTGTAGACGCCCGCCACTTCAAAGCCGAAGTTCCAGGAGCCCGAGTACTCGCCCTGGCCCTTGGGGCCGGTGCACAGGCCGTGGCCGTGCGCCTTGCCCCCCTCCCAGCCCCCGCAGTACGCCCCGCCATCGTCAAAGTCAAAGCGACCCCCGCTCATCGCATCCTCGCCCCCGTCCTCCAGCTTGGGGTGCAGGGTGGGGGTGCGGGGGTCCCCGAGGCTCTGCAGGCCCCCAGACTCACCACCGCGCCCCAGGAGGGCAGAAGCCACAGGTCAGTGCAGGCAGACAGAGCCCGGCAGCCAGGCGAGCGCTGGGGGCGCTGGTGGGTGCCATGCCTGCCCCCCCTCCCCTTTCCCAAGTCAGCCCCAGGAAGGCTGCACCTCCAAGTCCCCACCAAGCGTCCCGAGTCTGGCTGCCATGGGGCCCAAGTGTGGGGGGAGGAAAAATAAAACCCCAAACCCAGTATATGATCTCTCTTTGAGAAGCACAGTGAACTGGGTAGGGAAAGGGGGGGGGGGGTCCTACAAAGTGGGGGAGGGCAGTCCCTGGGCAGCAGCCCCAGACAAGCCGGATTCCTGCGCGGGGCCCTTCTGCTGCACCCGGGTGGGTGTGGGTGTGCGGCTGTGATCGCCGCTGCCCCGCCCCTCCCCAGCCCTGCCCTCCCCCTCTCCCCCCCCCCCAGAAAGGTCAGCGTTGCCCTAACAAGGCCATTGGATCTCAGAAGCTGCTCCCAAAATAACCCCCTGGCCAGCCCAGCCTCCTCCAGAGCGGGAGGGAGGGAGGGGTGTTTCAAGTCGAGCTGTGGCTGCAGACCCAGGCAGCTGGAGGGAGGGCCGAGGGCCCAGCGAGGAAGCTGGCCCCGCCACGTGTGGGACACCCTCTCCACTTGGTGCCTTGTCTTCCTACGGGTAAGTGCTTTCTCCTGCCTCCCAGGCCCCTGGGTCTGTAGGCAGAGGAAGCCAGGCAGGGAAGGGAGGGAAGACCAGCAGAATTCAAGAGGTTGGCACACTTCAGTCAGGCGCCCTGCCACCATTCACATGCCCCCCCCCCCAACGGGGCAGGCAGACTCTGCCATCCCCTGCCCCAAGGAGTCTGATGATCTAAAGCAACAGGAACGGGGGACAAGCCCACAGACACAGAGAGGTGGGGGGTTCTGGCGACAGAGTCTAGAAGGTACTGCAAAGTAGGGTCCACAGCTTGTGCACGCTCCAGGTCCCCTTCCAGCCCAGGCCAAAAAAAAAAACATCAGTTCACTTCCACCCCCCCCACCCCTCCCCCACCCCCACCTCCCCCCAACTACTTCCTCCTGAGAGGGGGGAGGCTGCCCTCCCCCATTCCAAAACAGAGGTGGGTCGGGGCGCAGTGAGGTACTCTTGGAAATACTCAAAATTTCCCCCTCCAAACGGTCTTTTGTGCTGGTGTTCTGAGGGCCCATGAGGGCAGACTTCTGAAGGCTCTTAGGGCAGGGTCAAGAGCCAAGGGCCTGGGTGCATTCCAGAACTCAGGTTCCCACCAAGCTTCAGGAAGGAGAACAAATAAATCTCCATGAGAAGAAAGATATTGCGGTCAGGGCTGATGTGCGTAAACCCAAGTGAACCCTGGAGTAACAGGAGCAGAGAATGAGACTATGAAGCTGTGTGTGTGTGTGTGTGTGTATGTGTGTGTGCATGTGTACACACATATGTATGCACATTCACCCATGCACATGCATGGAGACTACAACATTAAATTGTCATCTAACGTCAAATGTATCTGACATTTGCAAATTCCATGATGACTCTTACAGTGACTGCAGGAGTTTTGTTCTTGTTTCAGAAATGGGTAGAAAATGTTCCCTTGCTAATGACCAGTTCCTAGGACTTATTTTCGTCATAGGTACAACCTGTGACCTTAAAAAGGGTCCTTCCAGCATTTAAATTCCACCACAGGGAGAAACATGGGCCTGGAAGCAAATAGCAGAGGACAAAGATGGTCATCTGGGCAGGTGGCTCACTCCTCACCAGGTGGCCCCATTGATAGCTTCAACTTAACTCTAAGAACAGATCCACACTGTGTCCAGGAATTCTGCTTTCCCACCTCTCCCAGAGGCCTTGCAGGATTGTGTGAGTGTCTTTCCAGGTCTGCTGTCAAGGAAAGAAGAAAGATGCATTGCAAAGAGAAGGGGGCGTGAGTCGCCCCAGCCCATACCCTCCATAGTTAAGTGATGAATCTCTGTAATCCTGATCAGGGTAGAGTGTCCCAGGAATCTGTTCAGCCACACAAATGTTCACCCACTCCTGTGATGAGTGAACACACAAAAGAATCACCTACAAAAGGAGAAGACATAAACCAATTCCAGAGTCCTGCCCACGCCTGCAGAATTAAATCTTCCTGGGAGAAGACTTAGGATGGACAAATCTGATCTTTCTCCCTTGTTCAAAATCACTACAAGCTGGGCACCAGTGGCTCATACATGTAAACCTAGCTACTCAGGAAGTTTGGATCTGAGGATTAAGGTTCAAAGACAGCTGGGGCAAGAAAATACATGAGATTTTTTTTCTCCAATTAACTGTCAAAAAAACCCTCCAAAAAACAGAAGTGGAGCTGTGGCTCGAGTGGTAGAGCATTAGCCTTGAGCAAAAAATGTTCAGGGACAGTGCCCAGGCCCTGAGGTCAAGCCCCAGAACTAGCACCAAAAAAAAAATTAAAAAAATAGAAAAATCACAAGTTTTCAAATGACTAAGTAGTTTCTTAGTAACATTGTGAGTTCATGACTGTATGAAGTTGGTGGTTTGGGAATTAGATATATTCAGATCCCAGCTCCTCACCAGCTGAGTGACCTTGAGCCCATTATAATTTAATACCACAAGCTCTTTGTCCCTACACCAGAGGATTTTCTGAATCAAAGGTGATGGTTATCTATCTTATTTGAGTGAGGAGTATACAAGTTTGTACTTTTTTGTAAAAAAAAAAAAAAGCCTCAAATGCATGAAACTCCCAATACATGTTGTAGCTGTTACCACTATTTGTTTCATATATAAAAAGTGCTTCTCAACATCTAAAATAATATTTATTGAAATGAGTTCCAGGAAATGGAAACATAGGGTTTTTGTTATTGGTGGTGGTGGTGGTGGTGTTTGTTTGTGGGGCTTGAACTCTAGGCCTGGGCGCTGTCCCTCAGCTCTTTAGCTTAAGGTGAGCACTCTACCACTTGAGCCACAGAGCCACTTCCGGTTTTCTGACGGTTTATTGGAGCTAAGAGTCTCATGGACTTTCCTGCCAGGGCTGGCTTTGAACTGTGATCCTCAGATCTCAGCCTCCTGAGTGGCGTGAGCCACTGGCGCCCAGCTTTGGTTTTTCTTCCTTTTTGGGGTGAGAGGGCAAAGGGGAGACAGAGAAAAGGAGGGAGGAAGGGTAAACAATTGCAATCATAGTATTATTCAGTATTCATTATGTGAAAAATGACCTGTGTAATCTGTGGGCAGGCATGAGAGGGGAAAACTGGGAGAAAGTGCTCAAAAAAGGAAATAATTTATTACCTACCTTATGAAATAGTAACACCTCTGTGCAACACCTTAATAATAATAAAATTATATCTTAAAAATTGCTTCTTGAACCATTCTCCAAAGAGGACTAAATATGAAATACCTTCACATTGAAACACTTCTCTTCCCAACATAGCTTCACCCAACATTGCCTTATGGTTGTTCATTTTATTAACAGATAAATCATGTCATTAGCAAAAGGACACCTTGATTTTGTCAAAATGTAGGCAAAATTCATATAGACAAATTTGGCACTGGCCTTACCTGCCCAGTGCTGAGCTTCCTAGCAAAGCCTTTAGTTCTCCGCTTTCAAGGGAAGGGCGACCTCTGGTGGCCAAATACATTATAACAGACTTCCCCATTTCCTGGCCCTGTTTTGGTCAGAGGTGTTTTCTTCATCTATCACCTCCTCCACTTGTCAGGCTGGGAGTCCAGGGAAGAGTTAAAGGGAAATCCAGCCCAGAGAAGACACTGAACCCACAGGTATGCTTTGGTTGTGAGTCTCGCCAAAAGCTTAGCAAAGGAAGCCTTGCTTTCCCAAAGACCTTTCCAGACAGGCTTTGGACTGGGTCACCCATACAGGTGAGCACCCCACCTTCTCACACCCCCAACCACCAGCCCTTTGAAGTGAGGCTTACCTTTCCAAAAAGCACTGGGATTCCTCCTGTGTTAGACACTGCTTTCCTTGTGTGTCTGCACACAGTGGGCCTCTTCTTTCCCTTTCTGCAGGGTATAGCCGTGGACACCACCTTCCTTGAAATGCTTTTCTGTGAAACTTCTAGAATCCCTTTCTTGGCTCCATTCCTCATTCCCTGAGCTTTGAGCCTTGGGAACATCTCCAGAGCAGGAGTTCTACACTTAGCCACATCTCCAGTCCTCTTTGCTTTTCTAATTTTTCAAAGAGGGTCTTGCTTTTTGTCCAGGCTGTCCTGGACCACAAGCTTCCTAATTATACTTCCCACATTGCTACTATGACAGGCACAACATGCCTAGTTTTTTGTTGTTGTTTTTGGTTGACATGGGCATCTCTTAAACTTTTGCCAAGAGCTTGGTCTTGAATGTTGATCCTCACAAAATCTGCCTCCTAGAGTAACTAGGATGACAAGTTCAAGCCACTGGCTTTTTGTTGTTGTTTTAGATGGAGGTGCCAACATTCTCCTTCAGCTCTTCTCGTTTCTTTTCTTTTCTTTATTATGAAAATACCGTACAGAGGGGTTACAATTACATGGGCAAGATAATGAGTACATTTCTTATCAAGCATTGTTGCCTCCTCCTTTGTTTCCCCTTCCCATACCTTTCCATACCCCTCACCACCACCAAAGTTGTAAAGTTCGTTTTTTGACATAACGACTTGTACATCTCATTGTTGCAATGGGTCCACCTGTATCCCTATTTAAACGATTTGTTTTTTCCCTTCCCCTCCACAAATTATACCAACATCAAATACAGTGAAAACAGGGGTTATACTGTGGGGGAGGGACATACAAAGCAACAACGAAATCACCTTATAAATGTTAGAAACAATCGCATGAATGAAAAAGGTACTTGAATACTTATCTTGGGGTTCATTTCCTTAACATCAACTTATCTGACCTTTTCTGCTTGACTCAGATATATACTAGTTATTGCAAATAAGGGAAACCATGGGGACTTATGTTTCTTTGGGCCTGGCTTACTTCCTTTTTTTTTTTTTTCACAAGTCTTTCCATTTCCTAACAAATGGGGCAATGTCATTCTTTCTGCTGGAGGCATCGTCTGGTTTCTTTGTGTGGATCTACTGTGGAGGGTTCTCCAATGTCATGCTAAAAACATCCATGGACTGATAGCTCCTAAATTTGCCTCCCCAGCCTGTACTTCTAACTTCAGCCATCATCCAGCCACTTACTCGTCATCTTTGCATTCCCATAAGCATTTCAGACTTGACAAGAACTTACCCAAACTCTCAATTCCCCTCCCAAATCTTCACCAGCTGCTCCCAAGTTCTCAAAAGCTTTGGGCTCATCCTTAATCCTGGTTTCCTCACACCCTCTATGCAGTTTATGAGCAAATCCCTTCACCTCTAACTTCAAAATAATTTCCAGAATACATCCTATTTCTTGTACCATGAAGTATCCAGCCACCAAAGGCACTGCCTGGCTCACCGCAAGCCCAACACTGTCCTCTTGCTCACCTCAGCAGCTAGTGGCCTTTTAAAAGGTTAAGTCTCAGAACTGGGTGTGGTAGTACTCACCTGTAATACCAGTTTCGGAGGCAGGATTATGAGTCCAAGATCAGCCTGGGTTATATTCTAAAAAGAAGTCTCATGATGGCTCTCTCCTCTGGCCATCCTCTAAATGGCTCCCACGCTGCTCATACTAGAAGCCAAAGCCTTTGAACAGCCCACAAGGCCCTCCACCAGAGACCCAGCCCATACCTTTGCCAACTGGCTAAGGCACAGATGTTCTTCTGGCTCCTTCAGCCCAGATGTTCATATAGCTCACTGTCCCGTGTCTCTCCCCAAATGTCACCTTATCAAAGAAGCTTCTCCAATTGTCCCTAATAAAACAGGAATTCCAACTTAATGCAGTTCTGGCTCCTAATCCTTTTCCTCTTTATCATTTAGATGTACATTATCTTTCTCCACTAAAAACAGCATGCTGTTCTACCGCTCTGGTCCCAGCACTTAGCCACAGGGCACCTGTTGTGTTGCAGACACTCAACAGATACCTGAATCGATGTTCAGAGAGCAGTGAACTTGAGAAGCCATTCTTCAGAGCATGAGACTACTTTTAAACAAGCCCTTAGACGACAGACCCACCTCCAAGGATACAGCAGGGAAAGAAAATCTGGTTAAATTCAAAAACAAAGTCAAATGTTTTCACGAGCACCATACTGAAGTTAGCCCAAGTGAGCCTGAGTTTAAGATACATTCCTTACCCACTTTTGCTTTGTGACAATCATCTTGCTGGCCTCAAAGTCTATCTTCCCATTTCAGCTTCCCAAGTACTGAGATCAGATATGCATAGCAAGACAGGACATTTTGAGGGAGACTTGCAGTTATTCCTAACTTACAATTAATTCCATAAATCTGAAATGCCTGAGCATCATTTGAGTTGGATTTCTCCAGCAGGTTACAAGATCATGGGAAATTTGTTCTTTTCTAAAAAAGAATGTAAAGAGCTTAGGAGACAATCTTGTTTTATTAGAACTAGGTAGCTATTAAAAAACAAAAAAGGCAGCAGGGTGGTGCTAGTGGCTCACACCTATAATCCTAGCTACTCGGGAAGCTGATAGCTCAGAATCACAGTTCAAAGCCAGACAGGCAGGAAAGTCTGTGAGACTCATCTCCAATTAACCACCAGAAAACTGGAAGTGGTGCTGTGGCTCAAGTGGTACAGTATTCATCTTGAGCTGAAGAGCTGTCCAGGCCCAGAGTTCAAGCCCCAGGACCAACAAAACAAAAAACAAACCAAGAAGGCAAGGCAAATGTTAGCTGTGGTGGTGTGGGCAAGGTGGAACCTTTACAACTCAAAGCTGTAATGGCCTTTTTGCACTGTTCTCAAATGTGGCCTGGAAACCCCTGGAGCCTAGAGGCCCAGCCCCTCAGGAATCTAAAGGCAAACAGCTCTCATGGCATTAAGACATTGTCCATTCTTTCACAAGTGTTCAATGCACGTAATCTGTGATGTCCTGAATGGAAGCAGGAGCAGAAATGAGGATTTGTCTTTAAGAAGTCAAACAGCAGAGATTTACAAAAATAAAAATAATAATAAAAAATACAGGTGGACCCATTGCAACAATGAGACATACAAGTCATGTTGAAAACGAACATTACAACTTTGGTGGGAGGGGGGGAGGAGGGTTGGGTAGGAGGAGAGGGGGGAGGATGGGAAGGGGAAACAAAGGAGGCTACAATGCTTGATAAGAAATGTACTCATTATCTTGCCCATGTAATTGTAACCCCTCTGTACAGTATTTTCACAATAAAAATAAATGATGCCACTAGGAGGGGGAGGGACGAAACTGATGAGTATACTGCAAGTATGTATGAACTGGCATAGTAAACCCTTTCCTTGTACAACTAATATATGCTAATAAAAAATCTTAAAATAAAAATGTTAATTTATCTTCCAGAAAGGCTAGTTTGAAATGGGCCCATTATTTGAAAGTCATTATTATTTTGGTTGGTCCCTGTGACTTCAACACAAGCCTAGACAATAGTGAGACCTTGTATCAAATAAAACCAAAAATGGTAACTCAAGGCTGTGATGGCATTTTGTTTTCCTGCTCTAACCACAGTCCAAGATATTAATAAATTACTAAGCTAGACACTAGCAGTGGTCTTCTGTAACTTTAGATTCAGGACTTGTCTAATGAACACACTTCTTACCTCTCCCAAGTATAAATCACTCATTCATGAGGCCCAGACCCCACTGCCATCCATCAACTGTACAGCCTACTCAATGTTTTATTGAACAATACACGCTTATTTTATAAAATAGAAATAGGGCATTCTTAACATGGCCATACTCAGTAAACTTAGCATACAATATAGTCTGAATATGTAATATACAACACCAAAAAAGATTTTGTATTCACTTGAAAAAGATGAGGGGCTGGGAAGGTGGCTCAGTGGTAGAGCGCTCGCCTTGCATGCCTGAGGCCCTGGGTTCGATTCCTCAGCACCACAGAAGCAAAAAGAAAAAAGCCGGAAGTGGCACTGTGGCTCAAGTGGTAGAGCGCTAGCCTTGAGCTGAAGAGCTGAGGGACAGTGCCCAGGCCCAGAGTTCTGGCCCCATGACTGGACCCAAAAAAAAAAAAAAAGAAAAAGATAAGGGACTGATTCTCCAGTAGAAATTGAGGTGTTTGGGGTTTAACTCAATTTTGGAGAGAATTCTGGGATGGCTGGCCAGAAATGTATTAGAATATAGCATGTACAAAATTGCTGGGTGGGAGGGCAGTCCTAAGAGATAAACATCTAGAACACATGTAACTGAAGTATTAGCCTTTATCCTACAATTGACGGCAGCAAACACACATATGTAAACACACCAGATGGAGAAGATACACCCTCCCGCCACATGAAGCAGCTCACTCCCAGCAGCTTCATAGTCAAGAAACTTCACATCACATACCTCAAGATGAACAGCACCAAGCAGGGGTTTATTGAGTGATGGGTAATGACTCAAACAACACAAGGCAGGCCGGCTAGTTTATTCAAACTGCATCTAAACCTTAGATCTCTGGCTCAACAATAATGTATATCAAACCTTTCATTACAAAATCAATCCTGTGCTAAATCAGAGCTGGTTTAAATCAGTCTTACAACTTCCAATGTTCCGGGCTGGCAACTACAACATGACAAATGTTCAGTTCTGTGACAAAACCCCATTTGATTTTGGCTACCCAACCTTAAACATCAGAGAAATGGAATTTTACAAAGGATTTCACCCTATACCCACTGCTGCCAGTTCTCCAGTAATTATGTTTTCTTCATCTCTCAGGAACATTTTTAGATGAGAAGAATTTTCTTTGATCTGCTTGCCTTGATGGGTATGAAAGAACTCAAGAGAATAAAGAATGAAGGTTAACTGAGATGCCAAGAAAAGTTTTTATTGCAAGCACAGTGAGTAGAAAGTTGTCTTCTCACACAAAGTGGCCACAAGGTCTGCCATGAACTAAATCTGACAACCCTTCATTGGTTAAAGCATATGCACTAACTTCCTGCTATCAGGTGTACATCATTTCTGCCATGTGGGACATTTTCTTGGGGATATACAAGTAGTATTCCATGTAGCCTGATAGGTCCTCAATGGTTACGTCATCCACATAGACTCGAGCTTGCTCAGAGCAGGAACGGGGAGAGCCAGACAGAGTTCTGGTGTGCAGTGACTGAGAGTAGTCCTCAAGCATACATCTTCGTTCTGGGGCCAAAGGCGGGACATTCTGCAGCCCTGAAAAGGAATATACTTCCATATCATGCCATCTCCTACACTGGCACTCCTTGCCTAAACATGTACACGGCTTGCCCTGGTTTAGCCTGGAAACAGATTGAAAGTCAGAGAGATCGCTGGCCTTGAGACTTGCTTGGGAGACTTGGGTAGTGCCAGAAGAGTCTTCCGCTTTACTCTCTGATGGGAGCCTTGGAACTGGAGTTCTCAAAGGCTCAAGGACTGCCCCTGTGGGATTAGCATCGAGAGAAGTAGAGCTTTCTCCTGCAGGGAACTCTTTAGGGGTTGGAATTCCCAGCCCACTGCCGCCATCAGGGGAGTCAGTCTGACTTTTGTGCTTGAGCTGGCTGCTGGAAGAAGATGCTTTCGCACTGCAATGTATGAACTTGGGAGGATGAAGGACTGGAGACTTAGAACGTCGACGACGCTGGGTTCTCACTGCTCCTCGTGAAGTTTTCCTTGTAGACCTAAGAGAGAACAACACACAAGAAAAGGCTGGGATGCAGAAGCCTTCCTGAAACTCTTTATGATACTTGGAAATTTACCTCTTCTCAGGTTTAGTAGTGTTTGGCTATGAATTTCCCCCACAGAGATGTCCTGTTTTCAAGCTGTCTCAAAAAGGTCAACATCCCCTTATAGCAAGCTATAGAAACAAGCGAGATAACTGATAACCTGTGGAACAACTGCCTGGTGTCCACCTAGGCCCAGGAACCTTTCCCCAGTGAATGTGAGGGACGCACCCTAAACAGTCAACCTAGTGTTGAAGCCTAAGTGAAGTACTCTAGGCGTGAATCTAACTTCATACTACTGGAAGGCTAACCTTACAAAAGAGCCGTGCCATAATCATGACTTGCTTCTACTGGTACCAGCCAAAAGACTAAATATACACACAGGAAATGATCGAAAAAGATCTGCACTCCCCAATTTCCAAACTAGTAGAGGGAAAAGTCATGTGTGAATGTATGCACACACACACACAATCCAAAGCCTCTCAAGTAAGCGTTTACAAGACAGGGAGAAGTGAGAAAGGGGGGGAAAGTAGAATAACAAAGTAAAATGGTAAAACCAAGTTCAAATAAGCAAAATTAATGTAAATGCACTAAATTCAGCAAACTGAATTAGAACAAAACAGAACCATGCCACACGTTACCTAGATATATACAAACCTTTAAAGCAGAATGGTTATATAAGGAGAAAAGATACACTATGCAAGCACTAAAAAACCAGACTAACTCTATATTCCAATTCCAAAAAAGCCTTTAAGACATTGGGCTGGGAAGGTGGCTCAGGGGGTAGAGTGCTTGCGTTGCATGCATGAGGCCCTGGGTTCGATTCCTCAGCACCACATAAGCAGAAAAAGCCGGAAGTGGCGCTATGGCTCAAGTGGTAGAGGGCTAACCTTGAGCTGAAGAACTGAAGGACAGTGCCCAGGCCCAGAGTTCAGGCCCACAACCGACAACACCCCCCCCCCCCCAAAAAAAAAACAAGACAAAAGCCATTATAAAACTACATAATGAGAGTTTCAATTCACCAAAAAGAAAATATCCTAAACATAAATGAGCCTAGGTATATGAATCTAAAAAAACAATTCCATAATAAGTAACACAAAATGTAAAACAGAGCAAACTACAGTTTCACAAAGCAGGCTTCAACCTCTCAATTATGAATAGGTCACAAGTTGATAAAAACAACTCAATCAAGAACAGTTAAAGACACATTCTTCTGAAGAAAACATACAACATTAAAAAAAAAAAAACAACTGACTTTGGGAGCAGGCCAAATAGAAAGGCTCAGCAAATCTACAACTCAGAATCGCTGGGTCCTGGGTTCTGTACTAAAGCATACTCTTTTCCCAGGTATCAGGAAAGAAAAATCCAACAATATTCTAAGGTATTAGGATAAGAATATTCTCAGTAAGCAACTCTTACCCATGCCAACTGTCTTTAGATGGACATGTGCTTTTAGGTTTGGTATCATCTGCTGTGGTTCTGGCTGATGTTCTGACACTTGTACCTTCTCCAACAGACAGCGACACGACGGGCCTGAAGACAAGAACAAGGTTTACTGCTAATGGAAACTGTTAAATGCTCTCCCCAACCCAAGTGCAACCTTTACCAATACTTTTCTCTCTAGTTTACATTTCTTAAAAACCGGTCAGCTTTTAGTGTAATTTTCCCTCTACAACCAAATTCAGAATCCCTAAAAGTCCATGGTTGAAAAATCCTAAGCCAAAAGGTATAAGCAGAGGCAGGATATAAATAGTCTTTGAGGCTGTTTATCTGGGGCAGATAGGCCTTCTGTGAAAATGGAATGCTACTGACACTGACCACTTCTTTTACACAAGCAAATCAGAGCCATGGGAACCAAGTGTAGGAGCAAAACCTTGAAGAAATCCAACCTGAAAAATATACCCACTTAAATACTACTCAAATTTTAGATAAAGCATTTAATTTTTGAAATTAATAATATTACAGAGTTAAATCCTTGGTTTAAAAGTATACAGGTAATATAGAGTTTTCAGTAAATAACAAAGTTAAAAGAGAGAAAAAGGACCATTTACCATCTTACAACCTAGAAATTACTCCTAATAATATTTTGGTAGAAATCCTTCCAGAAAGAACCAACACAGCACACTGACAAATTAATAAAAATCTTTGATGGACAATCTACTATCTTAAAAACAAGTACTCAAATATAATTTAAAAACTGGAAATAACCTAAATATCCACTAAGAAAAAAATACTGTATTATAGAAATTATGGCACATTTCACAATGGAATATTAGGAATTTATGGAAAATTACAGGTACAGGAATTTTTATGACAAGATAATGTGTTTATATTAGGAGAAATAGCATGGGGAAACATCTTTATATACATAATCTCTATTACATTTTTTGAAGTATGTTATTACGTATACTGCCTATATAATAAAAATGATTGTAGTAAATTTATTTTCATTCTTTTCCTTTTCAAAATTCTTTTCTGTAATAAAGTTTTATTTCATAGTTTGACAAAAAGAATGTTGATTTGTTGAACATATAGATACATTTGTCCTGCAAAGACAAATACCATTGGATTCAAAACCTGTTGAACAGGATCATGCTGAATGCCTGGCAAAGCTTGGTTAGTCATGAGTCAGTTGCTTAGAGGTCCCATCAGCACAGTCAATCGGCAACAATATCACATTAGAAATGTAGGCTACACTATGCGCGTCTTATTTGCTTAGTCACACCAGTGACTCACTTCTTGTACTCAACTTTAGTTTTCTCAAATACTAGATAGTGCTTCTTTTCCTCCTGTAATTTTTACTCAAGGCAGATCACATACTACATATGTTTGATTTTCAATCCTACATTGTACAGATACTTATTTTATAAGTGTCCAAATAATTTTTAATGGGACTAAATTGGCTTAAATTTTAGTTCCTATCACTTAAAACACCAGAAGTCTATGTATCAAAAAAAAAAAATATATATATATATATATGTACATATATATACACACACACATATATATGAACATGTTTATATACTTAGAGATTTATATACATATTCCTAATTTTAAGAAGCTATTTCTACACCAGAGATCACAAAAGAATATATACTGTATCCACAATCTGGGAGCTGTTTTCTTATTTCTTATTTCTGCTCCTCAAAACAGCTTATCGTATTATTGATATAAAATGGCCAAGACAATCATAGTGTAAAAACCACTGGGAGAAGCAATACTTTTTGAAGTATCAGGGAAGCAAATGTGAGTATCTTAATAGCTACTGTGCCAATCTGTCAGCATAAAGCTTCTTCTCATTTGGTAAGCTGAAAATAAGCACAAAGCTAAAAGGAAACAATTAGCAGCTGGGCGCCCGTGCCTCACACCTATAATCCTAGCTACTCATGAGGCTGAGATCATGGTTCAAAGCCAGCTGGAGGAGGACCAGAAGTGGTGCTGTGGCTCAAGTGTTAAGAGTGCTTGCCTTGAGCTGAAGAGCTCAGGGACAGCGCCCAAGCCCAGAGTTCAAGCCCCACAACTGACTAAAAAATAAAATAAAATAAATAAGCCACACAACAAGTATCATCTATTTAATTTTCACTTTATGCTAAGTACTGTGTGCATTTCTTCATATCGATTTCAAGGTACTATATAAAGGAATGGTTGGGCCTGGGAATGTGGCTTAGTGGTAAGAGTGCTTGCCTTGCATGCATGAAGCCCTAGGTTCGATTCCTCAGTACCATATAAACAGAAAAGGCCAAAAGTAGAGTGTGAGCATTGACAAAAGAAGTTCAGGGATAGTGCCCAGGCTCTGAGTTCAAGTCCCAGCACTGGCAATAAATGAACAAATGAATGAACAGGAATGGTTTTATAGCACAGGTTCTGAGTTGGACATTCTGGGTTCAAATCCTGACTCTGATGCTTCTTACCAATATGACAGTACAAAGTTATTTGTGTGAGTCTCATATATAAACTGAATGTGGTACTTATAAAAATTCTAGTATTTGCCTCCTAAACAATGTGTATTCAACCCAGTATTGAGGACATCATGAGAAATAAATGTTATTTCCATTCACAAAAACAGAAATTCTTATATTCATTAAAAATTTGACATTTCTTCTGGCTAGAAGAAAAAGAAAATACATGCACAGAACAGTTTGGAAATATTAATACTCAGACAGCAGCTGGTCTGCAGGTGCCGTAATTAGTTTGGCCAAAGGGTCCAAGATTATTGATCTCAGTGACAAAACCTTACTGAATAAAGGTTTCCATAGTGATAGACTCAGCAATCAGACACCATGAAATCAACAATGTCTTCACGGATGTCTACTGGGTCAATTCACTTTTAGTGAAAAATACTGTGATTCCCTTGAAAAGTATGAGGAAATCCCTGATATGATACTGCTTGAAAATCTTTGATTAAAAGAGGGTGGAGGATCTTCTCAAAGTTAAAGAAAACCAAAACACTCAATCTCAGAATACAAATGAGGCTACTTTAAATTTTAACAGCAACATTTCTTTCAAATATTATGTCAAATCTGGTCAAAATGACACAGTGCCAGTATTACATCTTCTCTAAACAGTGAAGAATATTAGAAGAACTCTTTAAGGGAAAAGGACTACTTAAAAGTAGAAAATACATAATTTTGAATATGCTACAGATTCCATTACCCTGATGCATCCACTCTTAATTTCTTGAAAGCAGTTTGTAGACTCTCCTCCTCTCCATCCTTGGCTTCAGATTTCATTGTGAACGTTTTCTGCACTACTATGGATGTTCCCGTTAATACTAAACAAGAAAAAAAGAAAGAATATAAGCAAAATGAAAGAAGGTGGGACCAAAGTATACCTTTTAGTAAATAATCTATGTTCTTGGTGTGGGATATAATTCAGTAATAGAGTGCATGCCTAGCAAAGGTGAAAGCCTGAGTTTAATCCCCAACATTAAAAATGAAAAACAAATCTATACTCCTGGCATTAGTGTTTGGAGAAAAAAGACATTTCTAAAAGAAAATTTCAGTGTAGATGACTAAGAGACTGTAGGTTTTTATTTCTTAACAAAATACACATAATATGTATTATGATAAAATATAAACTGTTCAGACACTTGCTACCAGAATCCTATTACACAATTCTGGAATAAATATAATCTAAAATCTGTATTTCTGTTCATATATATATAGTGTGTGTGTGTGTGTGTGTGTGCACGCGTGCGTGCACACACAAATGCCAGTACTGGGCTTGAATTGAGGACTCGGGTATTATCCTTTAGCTTTGTCGCTGAAGGCCAGCACTCTACCACTCAAGCCACAGCTCCACTTACAGCTTTTTGGTGGCTAACTGGAGATAAGAGCCTCACAGACTTTCCTGCCCAGGGCGGCTTTGAACTGTGATCCTCAAATACAGCCTCCTGAGTAGCTAGGATTATAGGCATGAGCCACTAATGCCAGATTGTATCTTAACAGGAGAGAAAGTCTCCCCAGTTGTGGATGTCTAGAAATCTATGAAATGACCTTTATCATCAGGTTTAAAAAAAAATAAATAAATAAAAAGCTTGAACGTTACAGTTCAACTCTAATTCTTTCAAACACTATTTGTCTGGTCTAACAATTCTAATTAACTTCATGACACAAGATAGCATTTCTGTAAAGCAATCTTGATCCACAGATCAGTAAGTTCAAAAATGTTCAAGTGAATTGGCTGGTGTTCTACCAACTGAGGCACAACCTCCAACCCTGAGTACAAGATAGCATTGTTAAAACAGAAACAACTATAAATGTAACTCGATGCTAATTAATCCTATACACTGCCTAAAAGCTGATATCATCAATTGTTTTGTAAAAATAGTTTTGGATAATGTAGCTATTATACAAGAAACAGAAAATGCAACTTGCAATTCAAAAAAATTCTAGACACCAGTGGGTCATGCCTATAATCCTAGCTACTGAGATCTGAGGACTTCGGTTCAAAGCCAGCCTAGGTAGAAAGTCCCTGAGACTCTTATTTCCAATGTACTACTCAAAAAAGGGGGAAGTGGTGCTACAGCTCAAGTGGCAGAGCACTAGCCTTGAACACAAGAGGCTCAAGGACAGAGCCCAGGCCCTGAGTTCAAGTCCCAGGACTGGCCACCCCCCCCCCCAAAAAAAACAACACATAAACTTTTTAAAAAAAAATGATAAAGAACAGAACTTTTCCTAGTCAAGAAGAGAAAGTAAAAAACACAAATTACTCTTGTGTGTTAATACCTTAATCAACTACTTTGATTAATCAAAGTTCTAATTTCTTAAGCTCTGATTTTGATATTTAAATAAAGGATTAAAAAATTGCCTAAACAACTAGAAGCAACAGAGAAGTCTGTGAGAAAAAAAAATACTGAATCTAGTCTGTAAACTATCTTTTCAACCATGGTTTAAAAAAAAAAAAGGAAATGGTACCAAGTTTTGAACAAAAAAATAAGCAAATCAATATCCAGAAAGAAAAAAAGTGAAACAAAAATTGCAGAGAGGCCAGGCATGAAGGATCCTAGGACTCAGAAGACTGAGATCTGAAGAGCTCAGTTCAAAGCCAGCCTGGACAGGAAGAATCTGTGAGAAATGTTGAACCAAGGATTCACTTTACCTGTTTCTAACCTGATACCCTAAACCCCATCCCCCCCACCCCCCACCCCCACCCCCCCAGGCACTCTCAGAGGGAGTAGTGCCTCTCTAAGGATCTTCTGGTATTGTCTGATTCCACATCTGCTAATTTCTCAGGGGTGGATTTGATGAGACCTCTAATATTCCAAATGTCTAGATGTCACAATATGTTTAACAGAATGTAGTGTAAGTGGCAGAATAAAGCAGCAAGGAATCAAGGCTTGTTTATACATGTATTTGTGTGCAGAAGTTAAGGTATTCTGGGTAATATGCACAAAACTGAAAAGTCTCAAAATAACTTTGCTAGGTCAGGATAGGGTCGTTTGGGCCAGCCCTAGCCAAAAAAAAAAAAAAAGAGGAAGAAAGAAAAAAAAGAAATAGCCAGGCTCTAATTCTAGCTACTCAGGAGGCTGAGGTCTCAGAATTTTGGTTCAAAGCCAGTCCAGGTAGAAAGGTCTGTGGGACTCTTTTATCTCCAATTAACCAGCAAAAAGCCAGAAGAAGAGATGGCACTCAAATAGTAGTGGGTCAGCCTTGAATGAAAACTAAGTGAGAAGGCTAGACTGAATTCAACCCCTAGTATGGGCATACACCCACAAAAAAGTTCATAGGACTGCATCTCAAACAAACAAAAAAGAAAGCTGGGCTCAGGGGCTGGGAAGGTGGCTCAGTGGTAGAGCACTTGCCTTGCATGCTCGAGGCCCTGGGTTCGATTCCTCAGCACCACATAAGAAAAAAGCCGGAAGTGGCGCTGTGGCTCAAGTGGTAGAGTGCTAGCCTTGAGATGAAGAGCTGAGGGACAGCACCCAGGCCCAGAGTTCAGGCCCCACGACCGGACCCCCCCCCCAAAAAAAAAAGAAAGCTGGGCTCAGTGGAACACATCTGACATACCAGCTACCCAGGAAGTTTAAACAGAAAAAACTACAGTCCAGGTTTAAAAAAAAAAAAAAAAAAAAAGCCAGCACCAGTGGCTTATCCTGTAATCCTAGCTATTTAGAGACTGAGAGATGAGGATCATGGTTCAAAGCCAGCTCAGGCAAGAAAGTCCACGAGATTTTTATTCTCCAATAAACCACACCAAAAAGCCAGAACTGTGACTCAATTGGTAGCACACTAGCCTTGGATAAAAAAGCTCAAGGACAGTGCCCAGTCCCTGAGTTCAAGCCCCAGGACAGACAGACAGACAGACAGACAGACAGACAGACAGACAGACACACACACACACACACACACACACACACACACACACACACACACACACACACACACACACACACACACCCCAAGGCCCAGCAAACACAAGTCCCTGGATCCCAACACTGCCAAAACAAACAATACTGCCAAAATAACAACAAAAACTTAAATCTGCTAGCTTTACCTCAACTTCATATGATAAAAAAACATAAGTATAATGCCAGGTGTAATGGTCCATACAGCCTGAACTCCCAGGTAGGTACACAGTAAGAGATGGGAGTATTGCAAATGAAGCCTAGCCCAGGCAAAAGTTAGTAGACTAGCTCAAGAAACAGTCTGGGGGTAGTGGTACAAGCCTGCAAACCTGGCTAAGCAGGAGGCAGAAGAAGGAGGATCTCAAACTGAGGCATCACTGGGAGAAATGCAAAAGACTTCATGAAAAACTAAAAGAGAAAGGGCTTGGGGTGTCACTCAAGTGATAGAACCAGACGGAAGTTCAAAACCACAGCACTGCTTCCCCCAACCACCACAAAACCATGTAAATACACTCTCCACACATATTTGGCTAGTTTGGTTAACCAGGATATAAAGATGAAGAAACACAGTCCGCAGAATTCCAGGCTTCAGTGGGCTATAATTCCTCTTCATTTTTACCAGGACATACAAAATAGATAACACACAATAGCATCTTCTGAAATACCTGGGTGGAGGGGCTGGCATAGATCATATATACTAAAACACCTGAAGCTCCACAACATTTTAAAAGGTGTTATCGTAGCTTGTAAATAAATCCTGCTGCAAAACTAAAAGTTAACTTACAGTGTTCCCCAATTACTTTATGGCCAACACTCTGCTTATGGGCCCAAATAAAATAAATCATCTGAGTCTGTCTTCCCAACCTCAAGACCCCCAAACAGTGCTCTTTGGGCTCTACTGGAACTCAGTCAATATTTACGTACCTCTAACAGATCTAAGCATACACCGCTGAATTTACTGACAGAAATTCATGCCTTTCACAAATATTTACAAAATTCCCACGCAGATTAATACTAGACTGGATGCTAGGGCTAGAAGGGTGAACCTGATACACAGGAGGACTGGGAACTCTATTTCTGGAAAGACTAGAATCTCACTCTTGTGCTCCAGGAACTTAAAATATAACACTTGCTAAGAGCCTTTGCACCTAGTCTGATGACCACCGTAGGTATTAATACAAACTTGGTTAGCATGCCTGTTGATATGCTAAAAGAACGCCATCTATAAACCAAAACATTTTAAAAAGATCTAACTAGACTGAAACTTCAAGAATGAATAGTCTATTTTCAGACTCTCAGCATTCTGATTACTCACCTTTTTCCTTACTTTAACCCAGAGCAAAGGTAAATCTTAGGCATGAACTTAAAAGCAACATCACAGCATGTCTGCAATTACGAAGGCTTATTATGCTCCTTGGTACTCGTAACATCCTATTCACTCAAAGCAAGAGCTTACATCTATCTCTGGACAGCAGATACAATGGGTTTCCCTGTCTTTTATCAGTATTAAATCCGTGGGAGACGTTCTTAGTAACAATCCCCAAAGACATCGAACTTGTGTAAGGTCTGTATTTGTTACAGTGTATTAACATGAAAGTACACCGTTTTCGCTTTTCCCTGAGTTCCCTTCAACCTGGCAAAAAAGAAGTAATTGTTAAGTTCCTCCTAAGAAGAGGAGAAAAGTCTTAGTTTTGAGTTTCAACCAATAGCATGTGTCACAATCTTATTTACATCTAGAAGTTTCCTTACACTTCAAATCTAATTCCTCGTTTTCCAGGATCCTGGAAAAGACCAGAGAACAAGCCACAAGGTGTATTCTACCGGCTGGTGAGCCTGCCACCACCGTAATGTTAAAGACTTCGGAACTTTCCCAGACCACCGGGAAGCGTGGAGCCTGGGGAGGGAAAACCCCGGGGAGAAAACACTCGCTCCCCCCCGCACCCCGCACCCATACCTCTCACGGTCCGCACACTCGCCCAACCCCCGCACTCACAGGACTACGGTCAAAGCACCTGGTCAATTCTCTTCCCCTGGTCAGAACTGGGGTGGGGGGGGCGGAGGGGGGACTCGGGGAGGGGGGCGGACGCCGAGCCGGGAGCTGTCCAGGGGTTGGGCTCTGCCCGCCCGGGTCCCCGGCTGGAAAGCTGCTCCCGTGGCTTCGCTGCGCGAGGATGGAAGTCGGGTCGAGACTCCAGGAATACGGAAGAGACCGGGAGCGGAGGCCAACAGGCAGCCGACGAGAACGCGACTCCGGGGGGAGCGGGAAAAGGCGGGAAGGCGGGAAACGCGGCCGAGGAGGGCGAAAAGGGGAAGCTCCGGCCGGGCGGCGGGGCGGCGGGAGGGCGGGAAGCGACGGGGCCGAGCGCGGAGCTCCGCCGCACCAGCCCGCCGCCGAGGTGGCGCGGAGAGGCCCCGGCCCGGCCCGGCCCGGCCCGGCCCGGCCCAAGCAGCAGGCGCCGGGAAACGACGCGACCAGGCACGGGCGGGTCCCAGAGAAGCCGCCCACCCCGGGGCGGGCCCTGGAAGCCCAGAGGCCGCCGGCCACCCAAGCCCGGCACGTCACGGCACTTACCTTCACGCAGCAGGGGCGTTCTGGGGGTCCGGTCTCGTCAGTTCAGACCGGCTCTCACCGACCGCCGAGCCGGACTGACCCGGATCCAAACCAGCCGTGAAGGCGGCCCGCGCCTCCGGAGTCGCACTGCGCCTGCGTCACTCAGGCACGTGCCCCGCCCCTTGCTCACGCTCCTCCCACCCCAGTGACTAGGCAGCGCGGCAGGCGGCAGCTGCGCAGGCGCAGGGCGGCGGCCGCGCCTCTGGAACGTCCCGCAGACGCCCCTCTCGGAAGCACGTGCGCCTTGCGTCATTTCCTGTTATTCTTTTTTTTTTTTCTTCCTCTCTACTCCCTCTGGCGCCGGTTTGCTCCGGGGCGGGTTTTGGGGGCGTTCCTGTCAGGGGAGTGAGCGGGCGTCGTTCTTAGCTGCGCCGGCTCGCCAGGACTTGGTGCAGCGCTTTTAATCACCCAGGCGGCGGGAGTGTTCGCGCCAGCCGAGCGCAGACTCTGCCCCCCGCTCCGCCGGCGACCGGGCCCGGACGGCAGCCCCTCGCCGGGGGGCGTCTGGCAGGGTCTGCCCGGAGCGAGGAGGCGTGGCACCTGGCCTGGAGGGCCCCGAATGCTGAGCTGCAATGGGAATTTAAATGCCATCGCTGTTGTTAGACTTGAGGCCGCTGGTTTGTTCTCTCTCCTCCCCCTCTGTGAGCCTCGCTTTCTTCACCTGAGTGTTGGCTGGTATCTGTCAGTGTCGTTTCTTATGGCTTTTGATTCCTTTGAGAATCTTAGACTCGCCAGAGAAACAGATGCCTGGACGCGCCAAATTTTGCTAGGCTTTCAGCAGTTTACCTAGGTGTGATGTTTAGGTCAGGTAGCAAGCAGGGATAAAGCTGACATTGTCTCCATCTCCAGCAACCGTCTGTCCATTTGGGGGTGCCTCTCACCTGCCACCCCGCAGCTTGAAGCCTTGTTGGAAAAGATGGATTTCTTCCCAAAGGAAAGTCAGCCCCAGAGGGACAGGTTATCCCTGAATCCAACCTGGCCGCTGCTATAGGTATAGTGACCTAGCTGAATGGACTGCTGGAAACAGCGGACCCAAGCAAAAGAGTGTTTGGATCAAGTCTGGGGAGAAATCTTAAGTTAATTGTACAGAGCCCCCAACTTGCTATGGTTTCACTTAGCTATTTGGAGGGGGGGGGGTTGCTTTTCTACTTTATAAGGGCAGACATAAGAGCCACATAACTCTGCTTCAAGTCTTGAATTTTGATTTTTTTTCTCATAGTTTCAAAATATGCCCAGCCACCAGGCTTACCAGTGGCTCACACCTGTAATCCTAGCTACTCAGGAGGCTAAGCCCTGAGGATCGACATTCAAAGCCAGGCTGGACTAACCAGCAAAAAGCTAAAAGTGGGTCATGGCTCCAGTAGTAGAATGCCAGGTGTGAGTAGAAGCTGAGCATGAATACTTGAGTTTAAGCCGCTGAGTGTAATGTATTGAGATTTTCACCTATCACTGGGGGTTCTGGAACAAACTCCCAAGTTAGGTGAGGGATCAATGTATATGTTTACAGCCAAGGTCCGTCACTATTCTAGAAGCTCCCTAGAGACAGACTTTGTCTCTCTTCTTTATCACTTCATGTTAATTTTAACATGCACATTCCTCACAATTTTAATTAGTAGTAGTAGTTTTATTTTCTTTATCAATTATACCTCCCAGAAATGGAGATTCTTTAAAACCATGAAGTCATGGGTTAAGGAAGTAATAGCTCAGTGATAATAGTATGTGTCCAGTCCTGAGTTAGATCTTAAGTTGAACAAAATACAGTGTGTGTATCCCCAGGGCCTAAATTCTTTGGTGTCACATACTTTAATCAATAATTACTGATCAGAGGAAGGCATTAAATGTTCACCCTGTGTTAAAACTATTAAAGTACATTTAAGCCCGAATGCTGTGGGACTATAGCATGTCAGCATGCCTCTTGTCACAACTCCTCCTCTTCTTTCCACAGACTTTGCTGCTTGTTCAGTGCTATGCAGAAGCCCTTAAGAAGTGCATGAGCTCCTGGGAGAGCTGCTAACCAGCAGAGGTACAGCTGTGTTGGTAGCAGAAGGTGCCCAGCCCACTCTGAAGGTCCAGGGTAGTGTCTTGGAGAAGCCTTCCTCGAGGAAAGTTTGAAAGTCAGGCACTGCTGGACACTGGGAAGGGATGAGATGAGAACTTGGAGCCAGCTCAGTGTCAGGAGAAAATCAAGAAGAGTGGATTTTGTCCTAAAGGTCATGAGCTATTTCATGATGATTTGATGTGCTGTTTAACTTTGTAGAAAGCAAATGGGGAGAAGCAGCATGCAGGAGAAATACCATGAAAGAAGGAGAACTGCCACCACAGCTGATGGCTGTGAGAGGCTAGGGTTTAGGAGACTGGCAGAAATATGCTGGGCAGAGCCATTTGGCTCAGTGAAGTCCATAGGTGACCTCATTCACTAAAGAGGGAATGAATCCAGAAGGGCCATGTGTGGGAATGGGGAGTTTGGCTCTGGACTACAGAATTGGAGTACAGATGAAAGCAGGAATCAGGTCATGAAGGCAAGGGGCTAGCCTAAGATTTCTTCTAAGAACCATGAGGTTATGAAAGAGCAATAGCCTGCTTGATGTAGAAAGAATACCCTAGTTTCAGGGTGAGTGACAAACTGGAGACATTGGTATCTGAAGAGGACTAGGAACGGAGAGCAAGTTAATAGGTTAGAAAGCTGTGTAAAACAGGCTTCAGTGAGATATGGTGTGTGTCAAGAGGGGCAGTGAGCAAAGTCCACAGTGACATTTGGCTTTCTAGTTTGAGGACTGAAAGGGCACTGTTGCCTGGAACAACAAAAACTGTGTGAGTGGGGATAATTACAGCTAAAAATTTTTTTGGGGGGGGGGTCCAGTTGTGGGGCCTGAACTCTGGGCCTGGATGCTGTCCCTCAGCCCTTCAGCTCAAGGCTAGCACTCTACCACTTGAGCCACAGTGCCACTTCCGGCTTTTTTCTTTTTGTACAGCTAAAAATTTATACTTCTTGTTATGTGTCAGAAAAGTCACTGTAATTCTCATAGGAGTCCTGTGGTTACCATTACCATCTTCAATTTCCAGATGGTCAAGTAAGTGGACTTCAAACTCCAATTCTGGGATTCCTGTTAGTCCTCAGTTCTGGAAGGAAGTAGGCCTTTTCCTGGAAGCCATTGATCACAGGGGGAAAAAAAGAAAGAAGAAATATACTACATTATCGGACTTGTGCCAAGTGCTAGTGGCTCATGCCTCTAATCTTAACAATTTGGGAGGCTGAAATTTGAGAATCCCAGTTCAAAGCCAGCCTGTGCAGGAAAGTTTGTGAGACTTATTTTCAGTTAACTACCAAAAAGCTGAAAGTGGAGCTGTGGTTCAGGTGGTAGAGCACTAATCTTGAGCAAAAAGCTCAAAGACAGCACTCAGGCCCTGAGTTCAAGCCCCAGGACTGGTTAAAAAAAAACAAACAGATGGGAACATTCCTATATCCAGCATTTATCAGGTCAAGAAAGAGACATTGCTAACTGACATAAGTCAATAAAGAATTAAATGAATGAGAAGAGAAAAGAAAGAAGACACTGCTGGTGTTCTTACCAGCTGAGGGCACCCTAGTGCCACAGCATCTCTTTGCTTACTTAAGACTAAAATCCTTTCAGCTTGGGCTTTTAAAACTGAAGATGCAGTGTTAGTGAACTGCCTGTCTCAATATTCACATTTTCATTCACTTGAACTTTACAGCTTAAACCACACAGTAACACCAGAAATGTTTAAGGCAGAAAAAAAAGAATCAAGAAGGAAAACCACAGATGATTGCATGTGGTGAGGACTAGAAGGGACTATTGAGAAAGATTCTGGGGTGCTTTTCTTTAACATCCTTTTCTTAACCTGAATAATGCTGGTTATAGAAGTATTTCTGTTTGTAAAAAAAAAAAATCCATGAAAAGCTGGGAGCTGGTGGCTTATACCTGTAATCCTAGCTACTCAAGAGACTGAGATCTGAGGATTGTGGTTCAAAGCCAGCCCAGGCAGGAAAGTCCATGAGACTCTTATCTCCAATAAATTACTTAGGAAAAAGCTGGAAATGGTGCTGTGGCTCAAGTGATATAGCACCAGTCTTGAGCCAAAGAGGTTCAGGGACTGTGCCCAGGCCCTGAGTTCAAGCCCCAGGACTGGCTGGAAAAAAAAATCCATGAAAGTACAATATAGGATTTGTACATTTTTCTGTGTATGCTTAAACTCCAGTAAAGAGTTTGAAAAACTTCTGTATGCATACAAGAAGACAGGTAACATGTTAAGATGAGCTGGTCTTTTATTCCCCTGAATTTCTTAGCTGACTCTAGTCATGAGACTCCCTGAGAAAAGCAAAAACCTCCAGTTAAGAACATTTGCTTCAGCCAGGCGCCGGTGGCTCACACTTTTGTAATCCTAGCTACTCAGGAAGCTAAGATCTGAGGATCGCAATTCAAAGCCAGCCGGGGAAGGAAAGATCCGTGAGACTCTTAACTCCGATAAACCACCAGAAAACCGGAAGTAACACTCTGGCTCAAGTGGTAGAGCACTAGCTGAAGAGCTGAAGGACAGTGCCCAGGCCCAGAGTTCAAGCCCCACAACCAACAAAACAAACAAAAAACATTTGCTTCATCAGGACAACTTGACAAGGGACATGGACAGGTGGCTCACAGAACAAGAAATAGAAATGGACTTGATCATGAAATATGCCCTGGCCTCCATCTTCAAAAGATAAGGCTTATTGAAAGTGCACCAACATACCATTTTTAATCCATCAGGTTGACAGAAATCCCAAATCCTGATGGGACTGTAAAATCAGAGACCAAAGGAAATTATTAATTATCAGAAATAGGGCCAAATATTAAAGGCACAACCTCTCTGTCGAGAGAAACTCTGGTCAAATGGCCAGTAGTCAGCCTAAGCCTTTTTCTATCCTTGCTAAAAAGCAAAAGAACTTCTCTCCCTCACTCAAGTTTCCCAAGCTGGCAGCTTTGCAGTTTATCACAAACTTTGCCGAAGTCCATTGACAACCTAGAGGTTTATCATCAGCTGTACTGAGGTGCTGTATTAGCCAGGAACTTACATTAAAAATCATTTCTGTAA